TGTGTGTGCATGACGGGGTGTGTGTACATATGTATACACTATGTTTGTGTAGAGCAGTGTGGGTAAATATATATGCTTTGTGTGTGTACATATATATACACACACAATGTGTAGAGGTGTGTGGGTACATATAGAAGCTGTGTGTTTGTGTGGGGCGGGGGTGTATACACCAACATGCTGTATGTTTGTATAGGCCTGGGGGAATATGCACAGTGCATTGTGTATCTCTGTGTGTAGATGTTTGTGTAGATAAAATGTAATGGCAGCTGTGACCGTTCTCCGGGCCTGGGGGGATGGGACTCAGGCTCCTGGGGAAGCCGGCAATGATTGCAGAGGGGAGTGCGTTTTCTGGAGGTCCCCACCGGGCTGTTGTGGGACGTCCCTCCTGGGCAGGCTGCTCGGCTACATGCACTTATCTCCCCCCGTCTCTGTCTGTCAGGGGGTGCTGTGCGCCCTGCTCCTGCTCTCGCTGCCGGCCGGCCAAGCCCAGAAGCGGGCAAAGGATCACCAGCGCCACCACCACCACCACCACCACCACCACTGCTTCAGCCAAGAGCAGCTGCAGGCCGGGGAGCTGCCCACCCACTTTGTGAGCAGGACCATGAAGTGGGACCGATACGCCCCCGTGCAGCTGGTGCCACACCTGGAGAAGATGCAGCAGGAAGGAGGCCAGAGACGCAAACGCCAAGTAGATGGGTGCCCGGCTCTGCAGCTCCAGGCTACCGTCAACAGCGAGCCCAACGAGCGCTCCCTCTCTCCCTGGAGATACCGGTAGGCACGGGTGGCGCCTGGCTGGGCAGGGTTTGCATGGGGAGGAACCATAGACCGTGATACCAGGCAGCATTCTGTGCCTAGCGGGCTTGAGAAGGGGTCGTGCGGGCTAGTGAGCTCAGCTCCTGACCCCTCCACCCAGCGTGACCTTGGGCACACCTCTTCCCCTGGCTGTGCCTCAGTTTCCTCTCTTGGGGAACGGGCTGACGCTAGCTGTCCCTCACGAGTGTTTTCACAGCCCCACGAACGCACCGGATGCCGTCTGAGCATGGCTCTCGCTGGTCCTTTTCATTCGAAGACCAACCGACTCCGTATGAAAATCCCCAGTAGGGCTGATCGGTGGAAAGGGTTCCCTCGGCAGAACGAGGCTTGTGGGTTCTCACCCGCACAAAACAGGAGCAAAACACTCCAATCCCGCTCCTCCCCAGCCAGGGAGCCACAAGGGAACGGACAGTTGCTAAAGAACGACTGATCTGTGGTTGCCTGGGGCCCCTATGGTCGCCTGGAGTTGTAGGAACCCCCGGTCCAGAGAGACACAGGGGATGGCCCTGGAGCAAATCTCCCCAGCTGTTAAATCTCTGCAAGAGAATCACAGAACAGAAGACCTGTTGATTGTTTATACCTCGGCCATCCCCTTCAGCCAGAGCAGGGTTGGACCCCTCTCCTGGTGCTTAGCACTGATGCACCATTAACTACTGTCTCCCTTCCTGCCCTGGCTGTCCCCATTTCACAGATGGGGAAACTGAGTCCCCAAATGTTCATCGAAACTGTTTCCTTGGGTCCGTCCAGTGGAAACAGGCCTTAAATAGACCCTGAACGAATCCCCAGATGGTGCAGCAATGTGGAACTATCTACTGAAGGTACTTCCATGGCCCCATCCCCAGCGCATCTCATGTAGTTATCCTCACGCGCCCCTGGGAGAGATTAGCCGCATTGTACAGGCGGGGCCCTGAGATGCTAAGTGAATTGCCCAAGGTCACGCAGGACATCTGGGGCAGAGCTGGGTGAATGGAGACGCTTGGAAACATTGCTCTGGGGCTGGGCACCTGGAGCTCTCCCTGACGTCGATGGGGGATGGAGGGTGACCAGCTCCTGTGCCCCCCCAGGTCACACAGGAAGGGGTAGGTCATGCTTCTGGCTCCCCGTTAAGGTGCCAGCTGAGCTCAGAGCATGGCAAGGCAGCCAGGGAGGCTGCTGCCAGTGGGGGGTGGGGTTGTATTCGCTCTGCCTTGCCCAGAGCATGGTGTGACCCTTCTCCTCTCCCGCAGCATCGACGAGGATGAGAACCGCTACCCGCAGAAGCTGGCCTTCGCCGAGTGCCTGTGCACCGGCTGCATTGACGTCAAGACGGGCCGGGAGACGTCCTCGCTCAACTCTGTGCTCATGCACCAGACCATGATGGTGCTTCGCCGCAAGCTGTGCCCGCACAATGCCAGCCCTGGGACCTTTGCCTTCGAGGTGGAGTACATCAAGGTGCCAGTCGGCTGCACCTGTGTCCTCCCCAGGTCCAGCGGCTGAGCACGTGACAGGTGCTGGAGCAGCCGAGCTCCCGTGGAGCCAGCTGGTTTCCAGCATGTTAACCCCAGACCCGTAGTGTGACTGAGTCACACCGACCAGTATGTTTGTTTTAAAGCACTTACTATTTATTTAAATTGTAGGCCCTATGGAACCGTTTCTCTGTCCCTAGCGAGACCCGCCCAACCAGCTAGCTGTCCTGGGATTTGCATTTCAGCCTGCCACCTGGTGATCCTGAAATCCAAACCGTCAGCTGCCAAGGTTGAGCTGCAGGTGCTCTGCAAGCTGGAAATGAGCTGTGAATCCTCATGCCTCAGGGCATCACCTGACTGTCAGCTAGAGGGGTCAGGAAGGAATTTCCTCCTGGCTAGAGTTTTGCACTATTAGGTGCATCTCTTGGGAAGCGAGAGGGAATGTATTCCTTCCTCTGAAGCAACTGGCAGTAGCCACAGGCCACTAGCCTGTTGGAGGGCTCATTCTAATGCTCTTGTGTTTATTACAGACCTCATGCCTAGCTGGCCCTGCCTCCTTCCCCACGGTAGCTAGAAGGTGCATGTGACGGGAGGAGAAGGGGTTATATGGAGCTAGGCAAGCACGTCTTCCTTGCTGATTGCACACATTGTGCCGGGCACTGCCTCTGGGTGCTCTCTAGCAGAGAGCAGGCCAGGGCTCTTCTTTGTGTCCACATTTTTCTTTACAAAAAAACCCCAAAACATATGAAATTCCAGCCAGAAAAACCTGGCAGGAAAGGCTGCACAGTGAAGCAATGGCCAAGCTGGGGGGTTGCCTCCATATCCTTAACTCTGCCCTGCAGGAAGCAGTGCGTACTGACTAGCATTGTCCTTGCGGCGTCACTTTGCAGCCTGACGATGCTCTCTGGGCCGGGGACTCGCATGTACGTTCCTATCAAACCCAAGCACATTGGCTGGCCAGCAAGCTGTGCCATGGGGTGATCAGCCCTGCTCTGGAGCCCAGCCTGCCTGCGCTCTGTGCATTCCCAGCCCCTTGGGAGACCTGCAGTCCCCTGCAGCCGTCCGTGACGCTGCAACGCAGGGAACCATGGGCTAGTACAAGGCTGTGTCCAGCCCAGATGGCCCCCAGCTGGGCCGAAAGGGGTCGGGGCCAGCCAGCCATGAAGCTGATTTGTTCTGTGTATTTATTGGTTATTTATTTATTTCTATTTGCTGGGAGATGCTGTCCCCAGAAACGGCGGTGCTTGTAACCGCGAGGCGGGAATGCTGTGGCAATGAGATGCCGCTGATACTGTTCCCTGGGGGGGAGGGGCTCACCGCTAGGCCTCCTCCACCGAAAAACATTTTCTTTGGCAAAACACTGAGCCTGTCTCACACTAGCCACAGCCTGAAGTCTTGCATTGGAAATCAGGCCCGGCAAGGAGGACGTCAGTGAGGTGTTCTGGCCAGGCTGGCGCTGGGCAGTGCTTATAGTCCTCATGAGCAGCAAAATGCCCTTGAAAAACAACCCCTGTGGCTTGTAAAGAGCGAAGCAAGTGGCCACACGTGTGCTCAGTCCCCACAGCATCGGGCCAGCCCCGCGTCCAGCTGGACCCAAGAATGGGCCATTTCTTTTGCAGCAGCTGCTGTTGTTGCTTTTGAAAGTGGCTAGGGGGCGCTCTCACCTCAGCCTACACGCGATAATCTATTTATTTAAGCTCCATGTATTGTGAAGTCTGGTGAGTGTGCGATAAGCCCTAATTATTATTATTATTTATGCCAAGCCATTATTATTTATTGTGTCACTGTTAAGCTGCGCTAGTTAATATTGCCTGGATTGGAGTGGTGCTGATTTGTTGAAAGCAGCTGCTGTTCCTGGGATGTAATTGCGCCGGTGTGGACGGCTGGGGAAGTGGCAGAAACGCCAGCCAATAAAGTTTGATTTCCCTTTGGAAAGTGTCCAGGGCTCAGCCTTGTTTGTTACGCTACCAGGCAGCAGTGACTCTGTGGCCATGTCCCAGGGTGACGCCAATCAGCTCCCAAGCGCGGAACAGCCCTTGGGTGAGATGCTGCCTCCCTGCGCGATTGCTGCTGGGAAAATACCCCTGGCATAGGAGCGCCGTGTGGGGCTGGCCCATGCACCCCTGCTCTGCCCCCATCAGAGCATGGGAAGTGCAAGAGGGGGCGTGGCCACCGCAGGGAGGCTGGGCCGAGTTCGACACTCAGCTGTGCTGCCCAAGAGGGCGCCAGTGAGGTTTGGGGTGAGTTGGAGAACTGCTGTTGTCCTTTGAGGGGGAGGCGGGTCTAGCATCTCTACCCAGGGGGTGAGCTCAGCCCCTGGACGGTGCTGCTGGCTGCAACAGCCTGTGCGGGTGAGTGGGGAGAGGTGGGGTATGAAAAGGCGAGAGCCGGCTCAGGCCTAACAAAAGGGGCGCCGGAGGCCACCCAAGGGCCGGGCCTGATGAACAAGGCGAGGAACGACGGGCCCCGCTTGGCGTGCTGGAAAGCCGGCCTAATTAGGGAATGAACTAATGAGAGGATGGGCTACTCCACCCAGGGCGAGACGGAGGGTGTCAAAACAGTGAGCCCGACTCCTGGGCTAGTCCCTCAGGAAAGGGCAACAGGCCTCTGGGTCAGTCTGTCCTTCATCGGTGCACTGAGCCCACAGCCCAGCGCTGACCCCACCTGATACACGTGAGCGCCTGCTCCGGCTTCCTCGCCCTCGTTTGCTCCTGTCCAAGCCCACTAGTGCCCGCCTGGCCTACCTTGCTCCCGCGACTTTTCGCCTGCCCCAGAGCCCAGCGGCATCATATGGCACCAGCATGACATGGCCCAGCCAGAGGGTGGGGCTACGCTACAGCCTTCGGGCACCGACAGGCCGCTTACGGCACCCTCGTTCTGGCCGCGTCCACGACGATGCTGCGTCCGCCGAAGTAAGTGGCCCGTGACACCGACATCATGACGCTACCGCGTCGCTCTCACGTTGGTGTAGTCAGGACGACGCAGCGTCTATGTAGCCGCTGCGTGACTTACATCGGCTGTCAGGCCCAAGGGGGCTGACCTCCCAGCCCCAAGCCCTGGCACTGCCAGCCCAAGCTGTCAGCGGGGCGCGGGGCTCACAGCTGTGAGCACGCCCCAGCCCCTGCTACTGCCTCCCAGTAAGGGATGGAAATAGTACACTCCCTGCTGTGAAATGGAAGCCTGGGCTGTCAGTACCCGGGCCGGGGGGAGGGGGGGCGTGGCTCCCAGCTGTGAGCCCACACCCAGCTGAGAAGCTCAGGCTGTTGGGGTGGGCAGGCCCAGTTGTGAGCTGGTGCCCACCTGACAGCTTTGGGGGTGGGGTGGACCAGCTGTGACCTACAGCTGAGGCTGTCAGCCCCTGAGCTGCCGGGCTCCAGCTCTCAGCGCCCTCCTCTCAGCACTGTCCCATGTCAGTCGGTGGCAGCATTCCGGGGGTGGGGGGGCGCACACCTCTCAGCACTGTCCCATGTCAGTCGGTGGCAGCGTTCCGGGAGGGGAGGGGGCCGCACACTGCCAGCAGACGGAGCAAGTGTGGCTGTGCCCCACCACGTTAATTACTGCGGTGGCTGTACGGCGACATACTTTAGCCAAGCGCATCCATCCATGTTTGACCAGCTGCCCTGTATCACGCGCACATCAACAAACGCCACAGCTCCCCGACCCTTCTTACCCGGCTCTGCGCCCCTTCATGGTGCACACGTTTGTCAAGAGCAGGATCCGTAACCAGCACGCCATGGGGAGCTCAACAGCACGCGTCCCCAGTCTTTCCCGCGAAGGAGGCGGGCGTGTTGGGGTCAGAGCCGCGAACAGCCAGCCGCACGCTATAAAAAAAGGGCTTTGATGGGTGTGTTTTGCAGCTCCACTCAGTTTCCAAAGTCTCTAGGTTTTGTTTCTGTTTGTGCAGCTGACGCCGAACAGGGCCAGACTGCAGCAGGTCTGGTCACACCGTTACCCTAAATGGGTCACGTGAACGCCGCTCACCCACAAGGCCCTTTCGTCTGGCGTGGTTTACACACTGGCCTGTGTTGCTCTGAAGTGTCTGCTGGCGATGGCCCCAAACCTGGCGTGGTGCTGGCCTTAGTGACAGTGGGAAGAAAGCGCTAGGATGCACCATGCACCAGACGCTTTGCCGCGGACGGCCTAGTGCCCGGCTTGCAGGTGCTGGTGGGGGCCTCGTGCAAGCCTCACTGTCACTGTTATGAATAATCAGGTTTGTCTTGTTAGGGCTAGAGCCCAAAGGGCATTAGGCACCTGACGCCTCAGTGTCTAAATCCCAGAATCGGGCCCCTGCTCAGCAGCCACTGCACATCGTAGGCCCCTAAAGTCACATGGCTCCTCCGGGTCTGTCTCTGCGCAGCCTCATTCCCAGATGGCCCGACTCGCACGCCCCAGAGCACTGCACGAAGCCAGAGGATGGGGGTGTCCTCCCCCCACACACACACACTCCTGAGTCGCCCATGGGGGCCTGCGCTGGGCTCATAGCGCACCTACAGGCAGGGGCTGCAGCGCCCGCAGGACCGCTGAGGGGAGGGGGCAACCGCCCACATGACTCTGCCCAGGGTTAGGGCAGGCAGCTGGGAGGGCCCTGGGTCTCATGCCCTCCCTCGGTTTGCAGGGGAGGCGGGATTTGAAGCAACCTCTGCCCCTCCCGTTGCGTGCGCTAGCCACTGGGTATAGAATAACCTGCTGTGGGGCTCCCACAAGTGCTCCTTTGATGCTGTTACACGGTGGATAAGGCAGGAGTCCCGCGCGACTGTGTGTGTGTCCGAGCAGGAGGCTCCAGCCTGGGGGGGAGTGGGCACACGCAGCGAGGTGGGGGGAGCCCCCAACAGCCAGCCTCCCGCCCCCCCTCCCCCGAGCCACTAGTGCCTTTTTTATTTAGCCCCAGTACACTAGCTGCAAGAGGGCAGCACACCCCCAGAGCCCAGTGGTTAGGGCACCAAGTGGAGACAGGGCCGATCTCTTCCGGTGGGGCGGGGGCGTTAACTGGGAGGCTCCCACTGTACACCCCCCCCCCCCCACAAGGCTAAA